CGCAGCCCCACCACCCTAAACCCCAAACCCTAAACCCCGAACCCCAAACGCCAAACCCGGAACCCCAATCTAAACCCCGAACCTCAAACCCCCAACCTTAAACCCCAAAGCCTAAACCCCGAACCCCGAACCAGAAACCCGAAATCCCAGACCGGCACCAACCCTAAATCCTAAACTCCCCCCCTTCTTCGGCCGCTGGGTATTTAGAGGATAATGGGACTTAGTAATTATAGGGTTCCTTAAAGGGCTCCTTAAAAGGGATGTATAACGGCGCCTCAATGTAGCCATCGCCGAAGGTGATCCCTTGGGGCTTCCCGATCTTCCTGTCCCAGGATCCCCAGTCCTGAGCTGGGATTTCTCAAGCAACCAGGGAGAAAAAAGTACAGCTTAGGGTCTAGGGTTTAAGGGTTTAGGGTTTCGGGTCTACCCTAAACCCCAAATTCCTAAACCCTAAGCCCTAAACCCTAAACCCTCTAAACCCTAACCCCGAAGCCCTAAACCCTAAACCCCGAACCCTAAACCCAAAGCCCTAAACCCTAAACCCTAAACCGGCAGGCAAACGGGCTGGGCCTTTGGGGATTTGCGGCTTTCAGGGTGAAGGCTTCAGGCTCGTGGTCTTAAGGGCTCTAGGGTTTGCACGGGTGAGGCTTAGGGTTTCGGGTTTACGGTTTAGGGTTCAGGGTTTAGGGTTCAGGGTTTAGGGTTCAGGATTTAGGGTTCAGGGTTTAGGGTTCAGGGTTTAGGGTTTAGGGTTCAGGATTTAGGGTTTAGGGTCTAGGGTTTAAGGTGTTTTTTTGAAGCCCTCTTTTCCAACTGCCCGTATGTTAGCTGCGTAAAGGTCGCGCAGGGCAGGCAACAATTCAGGCTTCTTGCACCCCCTCAGAAGTCATCGTTTAGGGTTTCTGGCTTAGGCTTCAGGTTGAGGGTTTGGCAGGTGGCTCCTGTAAGGGTTTCCCCTGAAGGTGCTATGGCGGTTGTACAGGGTTTAAGGTCATCCCACAAGGGGTCCTCAGTTTCGGGTTTAGGATTGAATGCTCTAGGTTTCAGTGTTTTGGGGGAAAAGCATTCCTTAAAAGATCTGTATCGGTTCTGCAGGTTTTCGGTTTAGGGCTTTGGGCTGCAGGATTCTCGGTTATTTTTTTTTCTAGTGGCTGGCGCCTGTAAGGGCGGTTCTATAGGGGAACTCGACAAGCCCGACAGTCAGAACCTTCAAAGAAACCCAAAAAAAGCCGCTGGCAGTTACAATACCCAAACTATCCCTGAAACGAACCCTAAACCCAAATTCTAAACCCTAAACCTAAACCCTCTTTAGACGAGGCTCGTTGCGCGGTCCGGGGTGCAGGGTACCATCGCTGCGGAAGATCTGCGCCGTCTTCCCATCCTGCAAGTGATCTGATGATTTACGGTTTAGGGTTTACTGTAGGGTTCAGGGTTTAGGATCTGATGATTTAGGTTTACTTGGAGGTTCATGGGCAGTTATAAGCAGGGCCTATCGGGTTCTTTTAAGGTTTCTATAGGGTTTAGGGTTTGGGGTAGTTATAAGTAGGGTTATAAGCAGGGTAAGTATACTTATAACCCCACTTATCACTGCCCCTGAACCTCCAAGTGGGGTTCAGAGTTTAGAGTTTACACTGGATTGCTGATGTCTTAAGGTCTTTAGGACGGATCCCACATGCTGCTCCGGGTTCTATATTCGGGCCCTTACAATCCAGATCCCAGAGGGCCAACTTGGTCTTATAAAGTAGAAGCCCAAAAGTTGGAAACCCCATAGCCTCAATCCTTAAGAGTAACGTAAAGTTAATCCCAGCACTATTTGTCTTTAATCCGGTTTCCTACTTTTTGTGGTTTACTGTAAGGCTTGCTTCGGTTTTGCACGGCGGAGCTCTCCTTCGTCTTGTTATTGAGGACTGGAGTGAGTTTCGGCAAGGTTTCGGATTTAGGGCTCGGGCTGTCTATTCTGAAGGCTTTCCGGCTTTAAGGGCTTCAGGGCTTTGGGGTTCGGGGCTGAGGCTTTAGGGTTCGAGTTGAGGGCGTCAGGCTTCACAACATCACGTCGCGAACCATGTTCCTCTGTCAGCTTCGGGTCCGAAGTTACGGGTTGAGGGGTTCAGGATTTAGGGTTTAGGGTTTAGGCTTTAGAGTTTAGGGGCTCAGGGTTTAGAGTTGAGGGGTTTAGGGTTTAGGGGTTCAGGGTTCAGGGGTTAGGGTATGTTGAACACTGGACCTCTAAGTATCGGACCCTAAACCCTTTTCCGTAGATCCTTGACCGTTTACCCCTAACTCCTTCTGAATGGCTGCCGCAGGCCTGAAACAAATCTTAATACTTACCCTAGGCCCTAAACTTCCTATATAAACCCTAGAACCCTCAACCCCAAACCCTAAACCCTAGACTTCCTAAATACACCCTAAAACACGCAACCCTAAACCCTAAACCCTGGACTTCCTATATAAACCCGAAAATCCGAAACCCTAAACCCTAGGCCCTAAACTTCTTATATAAACCCTCAAACCCGCAACCCGCTTCCTCAAAGAGCCGGGTGGATGACCGAGGCTCAGACAGTAGTCCCGCGGGATCAGGATCGCGGGGCGTTGAATATTATAGAAATTAAAGTATATTATAGTATATTGTAGCAGATTTTAGTATATTATGGTATATATTATGGTATATATTATGGTATACTACTTTCGGGAGCCGAGGACTTAGGGTTCGTAGGGTTCAGAGATTTCGGAGTGACACTCTGACTGTGAGCCCAACTGAGTTAGGAACCGGTTTAGAACCCTCGACGATGAAGATAGACTCCCTAAAGATCTGAGCACTAAGCACACGAATTTGAACGACAACCCCTAAATCTTGGATGCTCGTCCCTAAACATCTCAAACCTGACACCCTGAGCCCCAAACCTCAAAACCCTAAACCCTAAACTCTAAATCCTCAAACCCCTCCTTGTGTGAGATGGAGAAGTGAGTGCCATCAACTGCAGCCATTCGCCACTCCCCGAGCTGAATGAAGCGGTCTCCCATGGGAAGGTCATAGCAGGACCTCTGGGAGACCTGGCTTTGGGGTTGATGGTTGAGGGTTTAGGGCTGAGGGTTTCGAAGTTGAGGACCTTCGGAGATTTCGTGGTTCTATAAAGGGATCTATAAAGGGTCCTATGAAGGATTCTATACAGGGGTCTATACAGGGATCTATAAGGGGATCTAAAAGGGTTTTGGGGTTGAGGGTTTTGGGGCTGAGGCTTTCAAAGTTTAGGAGTTTAGGGTTAATAGTGGTTGAGGCTTGTTTCGGCTTGCTCGTCCAGGGACTGCCTGTGCGTTTCACAGGACTTGCCGGCTGAAAATTTATAAAAAGCTTCATTCCAATGCAACCCGAGCTGTAGATCCTCAAGCTTGACAGCGTAAAGAGCCGTCGTGAGAGAAACGCTTTTCTAGCGCTTCTGGGCTTGGGGCTGAGGGTTTGAGTGAAGCAAGGGGCAAGACGCACTAGAAATGTTTCCTGAAGCTCTCTACTTAAGGCATAGCACAGAGCCACCCAGGAGCGCGAGTCTTTATCTCTTCCCTGGCCCTAAAACTACACCCGAATCTCCCCAAGCCTAACGCGCGGACCCTGTTGCCTCTGGCTTTTGAGCGACTCGCTCTGGTGGACCATGCTCTACTCTACGCTACGCTGCACTATTCTACGACTTTATATCCTACTGCTCTACTACGCTAGTACTCTACGACTCTACGACTCCACTACGCAATACCCTACTACTCTACAAAGTCTATTCTACCACTCGATTACCCGGCTACCCGATTGTTCCACTAGGCCTACAAAGCTCCACTAAGCTCTGCAATGCCGCAGTCTGCTCTACTCTACTCTACCGATGTACAGGTAATACTACTATCAAAATCATTATCAGTATGGGGCTGTCACTGTGAGTACTAGTACGATTACCAATACCATTACTAACGGTGACAGTTCCTATGACCACTATCAGCATTACTATTACCATTGCTACTGACATTTATGTAAACAGTGAATGTCTGGACCACAGCTACTATTACCATTACGACTGCTGCTGCTGCTGCTACTACTACTACTACTACTACTACTACTACTACTACTGCGGCTCCTTCTACTAGTACTACTACTACTACTACTACTACTACTACTACTACTACTACTACTACTACTACTACTGCTACTACTACTGCTAATCTACTACGACGACTACTACTACTGCTACTACTACTACTACTACTACTAGTGCTACAACTTCTCTTACGACCTACAAACAGTAAACTACACTACATTATACCACAAAACACGACACTGTGCTATGCTCTCTACTATAACACACCAGCATAGGTATGCAAAACCCTCCGAAACTTTAGCATACTATACTAGACAATACTTTCCATTGCCTTTACAATTGCTATTGCTATTCACTACCGCTATCGCAGGGCTATCGCGGAGACCATAACTGTTACTACTGCTATCGCTGCTGCTGTTACTGTTACTCGTAGGAGTTCTAGTACTGGTACTTCATGATATTGCTGTTAAATGTAGTATTACTATGACAGAGACGTGAAAAGGGACACAGACATAGGTTAGGCTACTGAACTAGACCGAACTAGACTCGACTAAGACTGTACCAGTACTACAGTTTACTGCACTACACTCTATTATACTACAGTATACGATGCCTTGACGTACCATACCAAACCATACCACACCATGCGATGCCACAACATACTATTCTGTGCGACGGTGCCGGCACGCCATGCCACCCGTGCCATGGCGTGCCATCACATGCTGTGCTGTAATTCGCAACACTAAGCTATCCTGCAATACTGCACTGTACACAGCTATAAAATACTAGCGTATACTTCACTTTACAGTACTACACTGTACCCTACCTTACATTTCTATAGTAGAACTATACTAGACTACACTAAACAAAACTCACCCATGCTTAACTTTACTAAGCTATACTATCCCACACCCTGCTGTACCATACTCAGTTACGATACCATAATGCACCTTGCCTGTGCCCCGCCTCCGCACCCACCTTGCCCAGGGCAATTCCGGAGAGATGGACGTGATGCGATGTCCTCTCGAACTCGAAGGTGATCTTACCTTTTGCAGTGCTTTTTCGTAAGCTTTGGGGATTACTGTTGTAGGAGGGTTTCAAAGGGTGTTGCATGAGGGCCTTCTTCTCTGGGGGGCTTGGCAATGAAAAGCCCGTAATCTGACCTCCCGAGGTACATATGATATGCTATATGTGATAAATTATGTTGTCGTATATCTTATATTATGTACATTATATCTGGAGCGATATGCGTTGGGCCTTTTCTCCTGGATTTGGTAAGGCTTCGGCATGTCTTATGCGATTTCGGTCGGGTCTTCTAGGATTGACCCGAAGGCTCTGAGATGCCCATCGGCCGGGAGAACTGGCCACCTAACATATAACATAGCATAAAACATAATATACAACATGCTACATAACAGAGTATGTAGCACGTTTATAACATAGTATAAAACATGCTGTATATATACACATATCTATGTGTATGTAACATAATATATGACATAATGCATAACGAAACACTCTAGATGACCTGTAAGATAACATATAACATACTGTAGACAATAGTATACTATAGCTTGCGAGGCTATACTATCAAGTATATAACTATCGCATATAACAATATACTATAGTTGTCGGTATGTGTCAAAGCATACAATCTAGACCCAAGAGTAACCTGGGAGGAAAAAGGATGCCCTTTTGGGTTTCAAGGGGCTTATAAGGGAACCTGAACCCTTAAAAAGGGAATAAGGCCCTACTCTAGGTCCTAGATTTGTAGGTACTTAGGCCTTAAAGGGATCCCTATATAGGCACTTTAAGGCCTAAGCATGTAGGGTTTAGGTGGTATTTTTCATCTATATAGTTGTCGATATGTGTCATAGCATACAATACGTAATGCTCGGCAGCTGGGATGTCCGGGTGGGGAGGGTGCTTGTGTTCTGGCTACGCAGGAGGCCTGCAGGCCTGCCAGAAAGACCCCTAAACCCTAAACCCTAAACCCTGAACCCTAAACCCTGAACCCTAAACCCTAAACCCCAAACCCTAAACCCAAGAGTTTCAAACCAAACAAAGTTAGGCTTTGCCCCCGACTCGTGGCTTATTTGTGGGGCTCTCCAAACAGCCGAACAGAAACCTTCGCAGCAACAACTGTGAAGCCCTGAAAAGGCTTACGAGGGCAGCAGGAAATACAAGCATCCTATAAAAGCCCCTGGATTTCCATCACTCCTGGATCTAGTCTACAAGACCCCAGTAAACCCCGAAAAATCGCATTGAATATCCTCCTGTATATGGAACATGTGAAAATGATTCCGAAGGAACACCCCCACAGGTCAGGGATGTTGCAATACTCAAACACAGTTGTTTGCTGCTTGAAGCGTAAATATCAACGCCTTACTGATTGGAACAAGGTTTTGTGGCAAATTGGGTTGCAGCGTTTTTCGAGACTACAAGGTGGTATTAGTACAGCTATACTAGGTGGCATTGGCACAGCTAGTCCTAAACCCTTACAAATATTCGGATATTCACCAAGGCAGCCTGCAACGATATTAAACATTCTTAAGTCTCCCCAAGCCCTGAACAGGTATTTCAAGCCGTCTGAAGATCTCCCTCAACTCCGAACCCTCAATCCCGAATTAAAATTTAAACCCTAAACTTTAACCTAAACCCTAAACCCTAAACTTTAAACCCCTAAACCCTAAACCCTATGAGTCTTCTCAAACCTCTGGGAACCCCAGAGGGGCCCGCCTGACGCATCGGCCTTCGCCGAGCCTCCATAGCATGGTAGTTGGGGCTTAGGGCCTCGGGTTTAGGGTGTATTTAAGGGTGAAGGATTTAGGGTTTAGGGTTAGGTGTTTTGGGTTTAGGGTTTAGGGTGTAAGATGTACTGTAGGGTTTTTTTTGAACTCCTTTTCTACTCCTAAGGTTTAGGGTTTAGGGTTTAGTATCCTTGAGGGTGTAGGGGTTAGGGTGCAAGGGTCCATAGGCTGCAAAGGTTTACGGTTGAGGGTTTCAATTTGTAGCATGAGAAATGCGTGGCTTGGGCTTACTGGGTTTACGGCGCTTTGACTATAGGGGTTCCTTAAAAATGCCTCTTCTACATTTCGTGCACTTTTTTGAATAGGTCAGAGGGCTTTTAATCGGGTGTTAGGTGCTTACACGGTTTCGGGTGTTTTTGTTGGGTGTTGGAAGGACTTTACAAGAGTTTAGTAGGGTTTGGTGCATGACATTGCGCTGCGCATGGTTTGGGTCCCTGGCTTTCACCAAAACGATCTGACACGATTTGACCGACTGTTTCGCGTAGAACATGGAATAAAGGGAACTCCAGAAAGTTGGAATATGGTTTCAGGGTAGGATACCTTATAATTTACCATAAAAGGGCTTAGGATAATCATATTCCAACTTTCCGGCTTCTACTTCATAGCGGTCGGAATGATTACCAATAGCATGCCCATGCCCCGGGCCCGGATAATTAGCACAAGCTGTTGGCGTATGCTTTGGTAGAGATTCAGTACCAGAAAGCCTGACAAAAAAGGTTGTAAATCTTCCGGCCCCTAGAGTGCAGCTTCTATGTGTGTTGGTCTTGTGGGATTCCTAAACCTCTTTGAGTGCCGCGAAGCCTTCTGCAGTGGCTTTGTCGCTGTTGCCAGCAGTCGTGGAGAGCTTGTCTCCACCATTCACTCGCAGAGGGTTCTTGCCAGCATACCTCGATATTGTTTTAACATCTGTACATATACATATACACATACATATACACATACATACAGATATACATATACATATATACACACACATATTTACATATACATACCTATATACTACATTCTATGCTACTGTATTCATTAATATTAGTACTTGTATTGCGTGCGTGTGAGTGCGGGTATAAGTATTGGTATATGTTCGGTATCAGCATCAAAACCAATATCAAAAGAGCAGTGGTATTGCTATCAATTTTGTAGTGTTGGTAATACGGTGTACATAATACTACTACTTAAGATGTATATATATCAATATCCGTATCACCACTAATACTGGCAATGATATTAAAACTACATGATCTGAAATATTATGAGAAAGCTTAGTGTCCGCATCTTCTGCGTTCGTACTCTTGGCCATGCGACATCAACTTGCACACCTCGCAGCTTTTGTATGATCTCATGAGATGATGGGTCATGACACCAGGATTCTAGGTCGCAGGTTCGACGAATAACTTGTCAACCCCAAACCGATGAACTTCGGACCTGAAATTTCTGAAAGGTGGGTTATAAGAGGTTAGACTGCCCACTGCAAGCCCAGGTGCTGTTTGGATATATACATGTTTTGGGAACCCTTATACTAAGGATCCTACGATTTAGGCTCCATGCTGGCTCCCTGTTATGCGTGTTCAAGAAGGCCCGTGGTTTGGAGGCTTCAGACAAATCTCAGTTCCTGGTAGGAGTTAAGGCAAAGCCCAAAGCCTTATTATGGGTCTTGTGGGGTTGGGGCAGCAACACCACCACGAAGGCATTGACTGACAGTAGCCATCACCACCACCACAACAACAACCAACCACAACCAACCACGACCAAGCATGACCGCCACAATCGCCACAGCCGTCAAAGCCGAAAAAATCGTCACAACCGTCACAACCGCCACCACCACCACCACTACGTACCAGAACCGCCGCCAGCACCACCAACACCAGCACCGCTGGCAGCACCAAATGAAGCAAATCGCCAAGAACCGCGTAGTAAGTAGGCCAATATAGGGGCCTTCGCGATTCGAAAAAGGTTTTGGAGCCCATGATACTTTAATTGAAATAAGGAGCCCCCCGAAATCCCCGAAGTTAACCCAACCCACAACCCAACCACCCTCGTCTTCTGGGGAAGTCGCTTCTCGGCGGTGCTTTGATAACTTTGCCGGAGGCATGTAATCGATTCTTGGAGGTTCATGGGTCGAGATATGTATGGTTCTAACTATACTTATAACCTCTCAACTGGTTTCAATCTACTTGGTGGTTCATAGAAGAAGGGTAACTATACTTATGGGCCTTTTTAGGACTACTCCTGAAGCTCCGAGTTCCTGGCCGAGACCGGACCTGCGCTCGTTGCACTGAAGCCAATGCTCGAAGCACAACCCACCACCCGAGTTCCAGAGACCTGTTAAGACGGTTAAGAGACGTAGACAGTCACTATGTAACCGATCCTCTCCGCAACACATTCCCGCTCTGCCGCAATCCGCCGATTGCCAATGCGCCGCTTGCCAACTACACGGTGCGCGGCGCATTGGCGCCCGTGTCACGGGAAGCACTTCCGGTAATGTTTACGTGCTGCAAACACTGGCAGGCGCGATACATTCGGAGTTCAGGGAGTTTCAAGACTGCAAAAGGGCTCATCTCAACTCGCAAGTAGTTTGTGTCGTTGTCTCTCTTCGGCTTTCTGCGGCAGCAACTGCGCATCTTCTTTTGTCGGACTGCGTGGCACCCCTCGACGCAGAAACTGCTGTTGCGAAAGCAAAGTAGAAGATTTGCATCTTCGCTGCGCACAGTGGGCCCTTGTATTTAGCGAGGTACATATAGATATACATTATAGACATGCATAGAGATTAGCAGAAGGAAACATCGTTCGTATGGAGGCTCTGCGGCAATGGATGGAGTCTGATCTGGACGTTATCATGGTGGGCACATGGATGCTCTGCGGCAATGGATGGAGTCTGATCTGGACCTTATCAAGGCACATCGATGCTCTGCGGCAATGTGTGTCGGTGAGGAAAGGCATGGCACGCTTCCAGGCACAAAACTTTGATTTGAGACGTAACAGAAGAAGCAACACTGCGACCTGAACGTTATTAACCCCCCCCCCCCCAACACCCCCCCCCCACCCCCCCCACCCCCACCCCCCCCCCCCCCCCCCCCCCCCCCCCCCCCCCCCCCCCCCCCCCCCCCCCCCCCCCCCCCCCACCCACCCCCCCCACCCCCCACCCACCCCACCCTACCCCCACCTCATCCCCGAACCCCTCATCCCCGAAGCAAGAAAGACTGAGCAAAACCTCCGAAGCAGAAAAACACGAATTTGCAACCCCCTGAAAAGGCCCCGAAAATCTGAAGTGCCCGAAATAACGGAAACGTCGCAAATACCACGTCGAACGGCTGAAAAGTGAAGGAAAACACAGGGGCGCGTACGCGCCAGGCTCCAACTACACATATGCCCCGTAAAACCACCGATGCAACCTCCCAAAAAGAAGGCGCAACGCCACAAACCCCTGAACAGATCCTACAAAACCATCCGAAGCCAACTGATGGTCTGCGGCCAGCAAGAGCGTCCGAAACCTTTCTATCCTAAACCCCAAACCCTGAAACCCTAAAACCCCAAACACTAAACCTCGCACAGTTTCGGGTCGCCAAGATGCTTGGACGCGAACTGGTAGACCTTCCATGCATAAAGCTGGCCCGCCGTCAAGCCAGAGACAACAGCCGTCGGCTTGCCGCCTGACAACTGTCTGGTGCTTAGTAGGGAATGGGGGAATGGATCCCTAGTCGTCCCTATACTATCCCCAATAATAACCTCCGTAATCCATTCAATCACTCCCTACTAAGAACCAGACAGACGATCTTGGGCTTGAGGTCCCGCTGCTACCAAGGGATCTAATATAGGGGCCTTCAAAATTGGAATAGGCTTTATTTATTTGTTTGAGGGGGGAGTGTTCTACTATAATGATACGGAACCCTTAGGAGAATGTTGGAAATTCTGAGGCCCCCTATATCAGGGATCAAGCCATCCGACCGTCTAGGCTGTAATGACATCTCCTGATCTGGACAAAATCAATGTCCCAACACCTCCACAGCAGGTTGGCTTTACGGTAGTGTTCATGGACTGTTGCGCAAGCCCCATAGCCTGTGTTGCGAAGGAAGCCCTTGGCGTAGCCGCGCGTGTGGGTCCAGCCCTTGAGAGCGCACTTGTAGCCGTTGCTGAGGGTGTATTCATACCTGGGTTTTGCTTTTAAACCCCTTGAAAATTATCTATGACTAGGAACCCTAAACCCTAAACCCTAAACCCTAAGGGAAATTAAAAAGGTATCCGAAAGCACAACCCAGATACGTCTTGCTCGTGTCGAGGCCGGAATTTCCTCGGTCCTGGGGCTTCTCGGAACAGGTAGTTCTCTGAATTAGGGTTTAGGGTTTAGGGTTTAGTAAGTACTATTTGGGGGGATCTCAACAGGCCTAATTTAGAGGGGACTACCCACATCATGAACCTGGGGTTTTCTGAAGAGCCCGGGGTGCCTGAGCTGGGATTCCCCTCCCTCCTTTTGAGGCCCAGGGCTTCTGGAATCTGCCATACTTGGTTCAGGGTTTCTGGTTTTTTTGAGGGCTCTTTTCCACCTGTCTAGCAGCTAGAATGCCATTACCAGGAGGAGCCTGTGGTTGGGGCCTCAGTTTGGACGGGTTTAAGTTTAGGGTTTAGGGTTAAGGGATAATTGTCAGCATCTACTAACGGCCCTGTCGTAGTAACTCTTGCAGCAAGGGATAGTAGCCCTCCCAGAACCCTTTGAGACTAAACCCTAAACCCTAAACCCTAAACCCTAAACCCTAAACCCTAAACACTAAACCCTAAACCCTAAACCCTAAACCCTAAACCCTAAACCCTAAACCCTAAACCCTAAACCGGAACCCTTACAGAACCTTTGTCTGATAGAATCTTTTTTGAGCCCCTACAGGAAACTCTACAGTAAACGCCAGAAAGTTGGAATATGACTATCCTAAACCCTTTATGGTAAATTATAGGGTATCCTACCCTGAAACCATATTCCAACTTTCTGGAGTTCCCTTTAAGAGAGCCATAGTATGGCAACCTTTGTAGAACCCTGGCTTCTGAAGCTTGAGGACCTCAGGGCCAGTTGCTGTGCTGATGTGATGAGCTTAGGGTTGAGTCCGAGTAGGCTTCGGGCTCTTGGGTTCAGGATTTGGGTTTTTTTTTCGAACTCCTCTTTCCGCCCGCTCATATCCCGACCGGAAGGCTAGGGCTAGGGTTTGGGCTTTGGGGTTCAGGGTTTAGTGTGGGGATCAAAACACAGAAGCGTTAAACGAACGTTCAAACAGGCACGCTTTGACGGAAACCCGAAGTTCAAGTCGAACCCTTACTCCTGGCGTCAACCACGTCGTACTAGGCCGCTTATGGTTCAGAATTCACAGGGTTTCTGAGCCCGAACCACTAAACCCTAAACCCGAAACCCTTCGCGGCTCTGTTTTGGCGAGGATCGTTGAAGTTGTTCTCGGCCAATGTGGACAACGGCTCGTCGGCTTCGGCCTGTTTACGGAATTTGAGCAAAGCTGCTGAATTGTCTGAAATCCATGTCTTCATACCAAGAGTATAGACTCATGCGATCTGTTGCACAAAGGGAAGCAAAGTCAAAGCTTTACCACTACATGTTCAGGCTCCTACATAAATTACCCAACCGTCCATCCTTGTGCTTCTGCTTCTCAATGATGACGATTCCTGAGTTGCCAATGTTGCCAAGAGCTTGGAGTTTAGGGTTTCGCGGGTTAGGGTTCTGGGGTTTTGATTTAGTGCACCGCTTCTGAGCCCTATGCAAGGTGAAGTGTTCAGACGCCGAAAGACAAATTACACTGCCAGGACCGGTTCAACACTCCAGACAAATTCTGGTGAAGACGCCAAGAAAAGAGATGCCAAGCCTACAATTCCACTAGCAACCGGCTGAGGGCTGAGATGCTTCTTGTGCTGGATACAACTTACGTGGATACCTCGCCTTTTGACCCGTCGTGCATGAACCCTGACCCTCAACTCTAAACCCTAGTGTCACCTAGACCCTAAACCCTGCAAACCCTACTTGGAGGTTCATGGGTAGTTGTAAGTAGAGTTACTGTTAGTGGGGTAACTCTATTTATAACCCATATGATGGGACTTATAACCCCACTTATAACTACCCCTGAACCTTCAAGTAGACCTGAAACCCTAAACCCTAGACCCCGAACCCTAAAACCCTAATTCCCGAAACCCTAAACCCCAAACCTTGCAACCTAAAAACCCTAAAGCCTAAATCCCCCTAAAGCCCGAAACCCTTGAACCCTAAAATCTAGAAACCCTAAACCCTACATCCCTCAAAGCCCCACACCCTAGACCCGAAAACAGAAGACGCAGAAGCCTTTCCAGAGACTCCAATATCCCTGAATTAGGGAATATACCTTAGATCATATTAGGGATCCTATTATTATTTAAGGAATATTCCTTAATTAAGGGATATACCTTAAATCATATTAGGGATCCTACCATAATTTAAGGAATATTCCTTAATTAAATGATATTGGAGTCTCTGGGTTTCCAGAGCCTGGCATCCTCGAGCGCTGAAGAAGATCCGAGTTGACAGGGAGGAGTTTAGGGTTCATGGTTCAACGGGGTTTAGGGTTTAAGAGGGTTCCGGGGGTAGGGCTTGGGGGGGTGAGGGTTTACGGTTGAAGGTTTAGGTTTTGGGGTTCATGGTTGAAGGTTTAGGGTTGAAGGTTTAGGGTGAGGGGTTCGCGAATCCAGGACATCGAGTCAAACAATAAGACAGCCCAACATAGACCCTAAATAGTGCCAGCAGGATTCCGCAACCAGGCCCCTTGAAACAAGGGACCCAACAGTTCAAGAAAGCCCCTCATCCTGGGACGCCTCTGACGAGCTTTTCAATTGTGAGTGCCAGCCCCGGTACCTACTAGGGTTTAGGGTGTAAGGCTCGGGGCTGGGGCACCGGTTTAGGATCCCAAAATCCTGAGCCCTCATTGACTCCAACTGAGGTGCCCTTGCCACCGTTGCCGCCCTTTCCCCCGCTGCTGCTGGTTGTGGAGCCACCGCCACCGCCGGAGCCCTTCCCGTCCTCTGGTGGCTTGTGTCAGGTAATGCAGAGGCCTGAAAAATTAGAAATATAGGTTCCTTTTAAGGGTTCCCTTGAAGGGTTCTACAAGGAATCTATAAGATGGTTCTATGATATAGAGGCCTTAAGAATTACAATAGGGTTTTGGTATATATTCTAATATATTCACATTAAGGAACTCGCAACAATAGCGTAGGTAACTATTAAGTTAAGGCCCCTATAGTATCTAGACGGCTGAAGAGTTTCGCGGTTTCGTCTTTTCGTCGTGAAAGGCCCTCTTCCTTACCTACAGCCCTACATCAACAAGAAAAAGCCTGCAGAACTTAAACTTTAGGATGAGGGGTCTAGGGTTTGGTGTGTACGGTTTAGGGGTTTAAAGTTTAGACCTGACCAGAACATCTACAAATCGACCTGAATGCATGCAATGCAAAAGGAATCCTCGCCGTGTTTTCCTGGGTTCTTGCCCCCGGGTGTGCCGCAGTCGCCACCGCCGCCTTCTCCACCTGGCATTTGTGAGGGTGGATCGGTTGAGATTTTTTGAGTTAGGGTCCACAATTTGAGGGGACCGCCGTGCGGCGCCTGAAGTGTAGTTATGGTACAGGGAGAAGCCCTATGTGCAAAGCGTCGCAGCATCTCCTGGTGAAAAGTGCCATTTCGGCTTGTCTCGTGTATAGGACTCAGGGGAACACTCAGCTTTTATCCAAAAACCGCGTCCGAAGCTCCGTACAGACCCTCGAAATGACCACCATGGCAGAACCCCCTTAGAACCTTAAAGCCTCAAACTCTTGAACCGGTTAGCCCTGAGCCCCCCGGGCCCAGTTTAACATGCGTGCACCCTACCTGACTAATTGGCTATCCTGTCTTATTCATTCCTAAACATAGTACTAATTATCATAACAGTACTGATACCAATACTAGTACGAACAACACTAGTAATACCTGATACCAATACTCATACTAGTGCGAGTGCTGGTACTCGTACTCGTACTGGTACTAGTCATACTCGTCCTAACGCTCGTCGTAGTCACAAGAAGAAGAAACAACAACAAGGACACCAATTACTGAAAGCCCTCATAGCCAAACTCCCGCCTTGTCCCCCGGAGGAGCACTTGGGATTGTGGGAGCCACCCCCACCGCCAGCCGCATAGAAGTCGCACGTTCCGAGGATGCAGATCCTTAGCTTTCCGGGTTTGGGGTTTAGGGCCTTCGGGGGTGGGGTTTACTTGGGGGCCCTTTTGACTTAGTAAGTCTACTTAGTATCCCCTAGAAACCCTATTATAATCCCCATAACCCACCTTACTAACCCTACTTACTAAGTCAAAAGGGCCTCCAAGTAGGGGTTAGGGCGAAGGATTAGGGATCGAAGGCTCTTGATTTTTCTTAACAAGGAGACCTCGATGTTTTGGAATAAGACCAAACCCTAAACCCTAAACCCTAACAAGATCCTGAAGATTGTTGCCGTTGCTAAGCCAGGGTCCTCTTCGTTTCTGAAGGTTTGTGGACCAGGGTTGCAGTTCCGGGTGTGGGATTCAGGGGGTTTAGGGGTTTAGGGTTTAGGGCTTAGGGGTTTAGGTTTAGGGTTTAGGGTTCCGGGTGTGGGATTCAGGGCCTTTTAAGTTTGATGCAGCTTTGGTCTAGAGATAGGATGTCTGGGGTCCTCCGGAGTACGGTCTGGGGTTTGGGCTGTTTCGGGTATGACTGGCTTGAAGTCGCAGCCAAGATTCTCTTTGCCCTTTCCTTGGTTGCTCTGTCGGAACAAGTGAAAGATAGCACAGTGCCTGAAGACGCACAGTTGAAAGTAGCTGCGAACACCCTAAACCCGAAACAGACTATCCTGAGCAATATCGCACCCTAAACCGGAACCCCTGAAACCTCCACAGAAAATCCCAGCCGCCGCCATCGCCGCAGTGGCTGCTAGTGCCAGATTCACCGACCTCACCTGGGGTGGAAGGGCCTGAGGGTGTAATGCAGGAACCTGATTAAGAAAACTTGGACGAAGGGCTCCTTTAAAGGGTCTGTAAGGTACTATAATAACCTAGGAACCTGATCAAGAAACCTTGGGCCTTTATTGCGGCTCCTTATATGCATCCTACCATTTGGAGCTACAGGCCCAGGGTTTCATAATCAGGTTCCTACATTAGGTTCTAGATGAGCATTTCTGGGTCCAGCTTACACGTAGCCACGACCGCTGCGAAAGTTCCGCAGCGCTAAATCCCTGAACAAGAAGCCGCACTGCCCTGCCTACCCGAATCCGCCTTCGGAGCTTTGCGCAATGGAACAGAAGGTGTTCACCATCACATGAGAAGGAAGAACCCATGGTTGGATTTTAGGATGCTCGTTTTAGGGACATCACAGACATCCTCCTGTCTGTGACTCCGCCCACTGCATATCTACCTGTTCTGGTGGGCACTCTTACAACCCATTCCGATCGGTTTCAACGAAAGCCCCCATCTCACCTGCGCCACCTCCTCCTCCCGCATTCCAGGTGTCTGCAGCAGGGCAGATACGGGCTGTTAGGGATTTAGTGTTTTGCGAGTCTAAAACGATTTCATAGGTGATCTATAGTAAAGAGTCGATCGAGATCGAAGGGGTTTGTGGTCTTAGGGTTTACGATTGACTGCTTGAGGATTTCTGCGCTTGGGGGTTGGGGTTAGGCTGAGGATCTGAATAACTGTTGGGAAACGCGAACTAAGTCGTTTATGTCGGTCTGGGACGATCAGAACTTACTTGAAGGTTCATGGGTAGTTGTACGAATGCCTGGATGGAGCTGAAAGTCGTTGCTGGCTCACACGCCTTACCTCGAACCAGGCAGAAAAGCACATCGAGAGTCTTTAAGGACACATCTAACCTGCTTCCACGATCCCCTCGTCCCACAGCGCTCACCCCAAACCCAAAAAGCCTCAAACGTGAAGTCCTACATTTTTATCCTGCAGCCCTGAACCCTAAAACCCCCAAATTAAGCCCTTGACCTCGAGACTCTAAACCTAAACCTTAGAAGGGGCCCCCACCCTGTAATACTGACTATAAGGACGATATCAGGGCCCTACTATATTCCTATTTTACCACTATTACAGGGGTGGAATCCCCTTCTAAGCAAACAAGGACCCCTAGGTATATACCCTTAATATAGCTATACCCATTATATAGCCCATTATAGGGTAGGGGTCCCAATTAAGGGTCCCTCGGTTTTCCCCTTTGATAAACCTAAACCCGACCACCCAACTCGACACTCGCAACTTTAGATCCTCGCACGGTTTAGGGTTTAGGGTTTAGGGTTTAGGGTTTAGGGTTTAGGACCCACACCAAGCCCACCAAACCCCACAGGCTTGACCTGTAGAACTTCTAGAACCCTTTCAGAGCCTGACCGCTTCTTTCGGTGCCCCATTCCCAGCCCCTAAACCCTAAGTGTCTTTCGAAACCCTGAACCCTAAGTTTCTTTCAAAGCCGTTCCTGCGGCCTCTGGTGCCTGAATCCTGAACCCTAAAACCCCCAAACCCAAAACCCCAAAACCCTAAAACCCTAAACCCAAAGACAGGCCTTGGGCGCCTAAACCCTGAATTCTGAACCCTAAAACGCAAAACCCTAAACCCCAAAACCCTAAACGCAAAGAAAGGCCTTTGGTGCCAGATCCACCCTTGTGTCCGAAGCCGAACTTCCCGGACTTCCCCGATTGCGAGTTCTGCACGGCCTGACCAGTGTACTTGGAGGTTCAGGGGTAGTTATAAGTAGGGTTATAAGGGGTTTCGGGTTCCTTTAAGGGTTCTATAAGGGTTTAGGGTTTAGGGTAGTTAGAAGTAGGGTTATAAGTAGGGTAACTGTACTTATAACCCGTATTAGTGGACTTATAACCCCACTTATAACTAACCCTGAACCTCCAAGTAGTTTTGGGTTCAAAGGTTTGGGGCTAAGGCTAAGGAGTCTGCACTTGCGTCACTTGCGGGGTTCAGGGATCTTAGTTGGCGTCTTAGGTGATATGTTACAAAAAATAGTATTCAATTATTATCTCCATCATTACCGGGTTAATGAGTAATATTGCTGAATATAAATAAGAATAGAAATATTCAACATCTCGGTGCGTTGCAGCCCACAACCCGGATCCGCACCGAGCTCCAGGGAACTCAGGCGCCAAGTCTTGTCGAAAGGGCTTCACCCTCAACCCTGCCCCAACCCCAGAAAAACCCAACCATAGGACCCAAGACCTGAAAGCCTATAACCCCGAAACCCTAAGCCCTCGAAACACGTAGTATCATGACTACAGGAGCAAGATCACTAGCATCATTGCATCACTGCATGCCTGTTAACCTCCAGTAGCATTCGTCAAAAGCGTAGCAGCCATGCTAGGTGCCAGCCTCTCCCCTGACCCTCCAGCTCAGGGTTTAGGGTTTATCAGGCACTTAACTTCCTTGCCTGTCCTGTCTGGCGGCAACTTTTTCTCTAATAAAGTTGAGTTGCTCATGGTGCCTATGATGCTGGCTACCGCCATGGCACGACTGCAAACAGAAATGTAGCTATGGTACACATCACGACGCGTCAACGTGATTGGGACTCTGTCTAGGGCTGGGGCTATGACATCACTTTTGCCAAACCCCTCAACTGATGGGTGAGAAAGTCCACTTGGGGCCTGCCCGCCAGCTTTGCCATACTTGCCGCCGCCGCCGCTTCCTCCATCGTAGCCCTGTCTGCCGAAATGGTCCGACGGTCTACGTAGGCACTATCAAGTTGAGTTACCCCTTATTGTAACAGTCTTTGCATATATGGCATGAATGATTTGGCACTCTGGTCTTTCGGGGCTTACGGATGTCCTTAGTTTTCGGCGTGGAGTGGCCCAGGCCAACAGCCAACAGAATACGGCCGCCAATGGTCAGCAATGTAGGTCGGAATTTAGGGTTTGGGAAATCGTCTTCGAAGACGTGCAAAGTTTTCCAGCAAGTTCAGTGCACGTGCCGGTTTCAGTACTTTAGGGGCCTAAATAATTACCGTTTGGGGGGGGTTCCTTGTTATAGTTTTAGTATAATATACCCCCAAAAAACCCTTATTCTAATTACTAAGGCCCTTATATTACTGTGTGTATGGTTTAGGCGTACCTCAAGATTTTCATCTGTGAAGGAGCCCGATTCCTTGCCTCTCAACTGGTTTCAAAATGCTTGTAGGTTCATGGGTAGTTAGAAGTAGGGGTATAAGTAGGGTAACTATACTGATAACCCGTATTAGGGGACTTATGACCCTACTTATAACTACCCCTGAACCTCCAAGTATGAGTGCTCCAGTCGCCGATCCAAAGGTGACCACTCCCGAATACTACATCCCTTCAGCCCTGCTTTCCTGATACCGTGGAGACCAGCACTCCTGAAGAAGAACCCTGCTGGCTTTCGAACCGTATTGATCCAACCCGAACCCCTAAACCCAAAACCCTAAACCTAAAATCCTAAACCCAAAACCCTAAACCCCAAATCCCTAAACCCTTAAACAGTAATGATTCCCAGGCTGTGAACAGGCACCACCAGCGCCCCCCCCGCGCCTTCTTTTGCGTGTCGCTGCCTCCGCCACCACCACCCTTTGCCTCGGTCTTGGGGTTCAAGCATATTAGTATATGGGAGTTTCCGAAAATTAGGAGGTCCTTTAAAGGGATCTATAAGGGTTCTATAAAGGGTCTAGGGTTGAGAGCTTCCGAAAATTAGGGGTACCTTATTTCAGGGTCCTTATAACAAGGATCGTAGTGTTTAGGGTACTATATTAGGGGCCCCAGGCATGCTAGTATCTTTGGGAGTTTCCGATAATTAGGAGGTCCTTTACAGGGATCTACAAGGGTTCCTTAAAGGGATCTATAAGGGTTCTATAAAGGATTTAGGGTTGAGAGTTTCCGAAGATTAGGGGTACCTTATTTCAGGGTTCTTTTGATAAGGATCGTAGTGTTTAGGGTACTACATTAGGGTCCCCTATATGTGGAAACTCCCATGAGTTTCCATATGTGCCTTAATAATCCGAATAGGGTTCCTTGAGAGGGATCTGTAATCGGGGTCTATGATAGAGGGGCCTTAATAATTAGAATAGGGTTTTGGGGGCCCATTATACTATACTTCTAATCAGGAACCCCCAAAATAGTAGAGGTAATTATTTAGGCCCCTATGTTAGGCTTCAAAGCTATTAGCTTTAGGGCTCCGGGATGTAGATGTAGAGTTTCAAACCTATGCTTAAACACGCAAACCTCCGTGCCATGTTGATGTTGCGATGCTGGTCGCATAAGCTCTGTTGAGCCTCCTTTTCCGCATTGCGTGGGCGCAGGGCTTCAGCGTTGCGGATTTAGAGTCCGGAGCGCCAGTGGAAACGGAGCCCAGAATGGCTTTCTGATTAAATAGTATTAAAGCTTTCGGTCGTTCCCTCGGATTTACTTGCAACTGGCCTGGAGGCCGCTCGCTAGAAGGGGTCACACAGCGAATATGATCCGCTGAGGAGGCCTAAGACGACGACCAGTTCGCCTAACACTACCAATACCGTTTCCACCTACCGCTCCCATTATCGCGACCATTGCCAGTCTCTGTACCGCTGTCGCTGCAGATACTGCTACCGCTACCACTACCATGACCACCACCACAAATCCCTGCCTGCCTGCTGCCTACCTACCTATCTACGTACCACCTACCTGCCTACCTACCTACCTGCCTACCCACCGTATCTGACTGCCTGCCTAGCTACTGCCTGAATATGCTGAGGATGACGATGACGATGACGATGATGATGATGATGATGCTGGTGATGGTGATGGTGATGGTCATGTGATGGTGATGGCGACGGTGATGAAGATGACGATGATGGTTGAGGAGGAGGAGGCGGGGGGGAGGAGGAAGAGGAGGAGGAGCAGGAGGAGGAGCAGGAGGAGCAGGAGGAGCAAGAGGAGCAGGAGGAGGAGGAGGAGGAGGAGGAGATGATGCAGATGATGATGCTGATGCTGGTGATGATGTTGATGACGATGATGAATTCATGGCCCGAGCGGCCACCAACTCGCCGAACTTCGAGTCCTTGCCGGCCTTGCCGTCCCCTCCGCTCCCGCTTCCACCGGCGCCGCCGGCACCCACCTTGACGGTGTAGGGGGTGCCCTTGGTGACCTGCACGCAATGGTGGAGCTGTTGCTCAATTCGGGGAAGTGGGAGTAGTAGTAGTAGTAGTAGTAGTAGTAGTAGTAGTAGTAGTAGTAGTAGTAGTAGCAGCAATGGTCCAGGCGCAACAATGCTGAACCTTGAAAGCGTCTTGCCCTGGACCCCCAGAATGAAGCCCTAACGCACCTCAAACCTAAACCCCTGGACCACACGACGACCTAAACAACGCACACCTCGAGACCTTCTTCCCACATGGATTTCTCCAAAATGGATTTCGCTAAACCCTGAACCCTGAACCCTAATCATTGAGCCCTAAACCCTGAACGTTGAAATATTCGGGCCTTTAGGACTTAAGACTGACTTAGTCGACCCTAATTAGCCTTGAAGCAGTCCATCGCGACCAAACCACCACCGGCACCACCGCCACCGGAGCGGCCACCTCATCTCTTTAGGGTGTATGTACATGTACATGTACGTGTACATGTAGAATATCCATATATATATATATGTATGTATGTATGTATATGAAAATATGTACATATGTATATACGTATTATGTATATATGTATATATGTATATATGTATATATGTATATATGTATATATGTATATATGTATATATGTGTATATGTATATATGTATATATGGGTTTAGGGTTTAAGGTTTTGCTGGTTTGGTGACTCTGTGAAGTTGCTACTTGTGCACATACGGGCCTGAAAACCTTGACGAGGTGCCTCTGGGGTTGTGTGTTTTGTGACAATGGCAAAGGCTAGCGCTTAGGCGGCTTAGGGTTTAGGGTCTAGGGTGTAGGGTTTAAGGGTTTAGAGTTTAGGCTTTAGGATGGTTTAAGGGCTTCAGGGGTTTAGAGTTAGAGATTCCGAGTCGGGCTTGACGGCTTTGAAGTTCAAGGCTCTGGGCTCGAAGCTTTGGGCATACGCCGGGCAGTCATAGAGCTCGGCGCCGGGGCTTTTGGGGTTCAGGCTTGGAACTTCTGAATTAGAGTTCGCTCAGAACCTGGGAGGTTAAGGCGGCGCTATCGATGGTTGGGTTTGCAACCGGATACTATACCCCACCTCTACACTTTAAGCCCCAAAACGTGCCCTACTCTCCACCGAGACCAGCAAATTGCATCAAGGTGTTTCCAAACTCGAGTCTTTTGAACATGCCTTTTCTCAGTAAACTCTTGTTCAGATAGGTCTAGCTTACATCATCCCTTGCATCCTGAAGCCGAAAACCTGAAACCCTAACCCTAAACCCTGAAACCCGAAACCCCAAACCCCTGGAACCCTAAACCCACAACCCCGAAACCCCGAAACCCTGGTTCCCAACACGGACCCCGACAAAGTGAACTGCTTCCAGGATGCCGCCACCACCACCACCGGCAACCACCAAGATCTGAGAAGTACGTTCAGGGTTTGGGATTTTGGGGTTTAGGGTTTTGGGGTTCAGGGTTTAGGGTTTTGGGTTCAGGGATTTAGGGTTTTGGGGTTCAGGGTTTAGGGTTCAGGGTTTAGGGTTTAGGCTTCAGGGTTATTAGGGTCTAGGGTTTAGGGTGTAGGCTCCTTTCCGCAATAATATGATCAAAACCAGCCGTGATAGTGGCAGCAGGTAGCAGTGGCAAAACTGCTGGAAATGGCAATAACACTGGCGGTGCTTAACACACGGATCAACAAACAAGAATGAACCCTAAACCCTAAACCCTCGGAGATTACACCTAGTATCGCTGCCGCTGCGGGGAACTTATCGAAGCCCGAGCCTAGAGCCTCACTGACAAACATCAACAGACTTCGGTTTTCATCTTTTATCATTCCTGTATCATTAGCATTAGTGGTATTCTTCTTGCTAACTATTGATGTTTGTACTAAGTTCGTACTATTGGTGTTAATGTTGCTACTTGTTCTTATACGAATTATGATTCCTATTATCGTTAGTATTAGCAATGTTTGGGAGTTTCCGAAAATAGGGGACCCTGATATAGTACCCTAAATAGTCGGATCCTTATTATAAGGACCCCCAAAATAGGGTACCCCAACTTTTCGGAAACTCCCTTTTAGGGTTCAGGGATCAGGGATGAGGGTGCAGGGATGCTGTGGGTTCCGAAGCTCCGGAAGCCGAAATTTGCGCATCTGCGACGGTACGATAAAGGGTGCTTATGGTGGGTTCTATAAGGGAGTTTCCGAAAATTAGGGGGGTACCTTATTTTGGGGTCCTTATAATAAGGATCCCACTATTCAGGGTACTATATTAGGGTTCCCTATTTTCGGAAACTTCCATAAGGGTTCTCTAACGAAAGGTTCCCTCAGGGTTCTACCAAAGGCTTAGGAACTTCGGTGGAAGAGCCCTCCTTGTGCCCATCTTCCCCAAGAGGGGTTCTACAAGGGTTTAGGGCTTTAGGGTTTAGAGTTTAGGGTTTAGAGAGCTTGGGGCTTTATCCATAAAGCAACAGCCCGCAAGAGGGGGCCTGTACTCAATCCTGACCCCACCCAGCCCCGTTTCCCGTCCCCCCGTCAAACTGCAAGGGAACATTTTGAAGTGCCCATGCACCAAAACCTGAACCCAACCTAAACGCCGAAAATCCTACTGCTGAAAGACAACATACAACGTCAAAACTGGGTTTTTCAGCTTCAGGTACCGCCAAGGCGGTAACAACTTTGAGGATCAGCGGACTTCGTAAGTACGGCTAGAAAGTCTTGGTTAAGCACGCATTGCAAAGCCCCTGTAGAACCCTTATGTACCCCTATAAGATCGTACTACAGGAGGCCTACTTGCTTAGTTCCCTGATCCTTTAAGATTAACCCTAAGCACTAAACCTTGTCCCCTGATACGGGAGTTTCTGAAAATAGGGGACCCTAAACATAGTACCCTAAAAGGTAGGATCCTTATAATGATAACTCCAAAAGAAGGTACCCCTATTTTCGGAAACTCTCATACCGGAACCACCCACGGGCACTCCTTGGCACACCCACTGAAGGTCGCGGTCCAGGTGCTGTCCTCCGTGAAGGTCCTTCGGGCGTGGTAGGGTGTCGGAGGGTATAGAAGTCGGGCAGAAGGGTTCAGGGTTGAGGGCCAAGATTACCTTAACCTGCGAAAACCTACAAACAGTAGGGTCCCTATAAATTCCATATTAGGGTTTATAATAAGAGCCTAAAAAAAAAATTGGTTTGGTGGGTTAAGGTAGGGTGAAGGGTTCAGGGTTAAGGTGCTAAAGGTTGAGCGGCCTTTCTCCGCAATGGCTTGCTGTTTGATGTTGAGGCTGAGCTTCCTCCACATTAGCATAACTTAGAAGGGGCCCCCACCCTGTAATAGTGGTATGATAGGAATATATTAAGGCCCAATTATATTCCTATTATACCACTATTACAGGGTGGGGGCAGCTTTTAAAGCATAACTGCTTCAGTCAAAACTAAAGCATGTTTTCTGGCTGATCGTTGAGGCCCGTATACTACCGGCTGTGGGACATCATTACAGTCTCTCTGTGCAATAAAATATAGTTTAAACTAACATATTATGTTGCAATATACTACGTGACAACATACTATAGCATTCTATACAATAGTATGATGTGAAAGAACTAGAATATGATAGAACGGAACAGTCAATATGAAATAGAATAGAACAGAATAGAATAGAATAGAACAGAATACAATGCAGCAGAAAAGAATCGAACACAATTAAAAGAAATGAAAATGGAAAAGAAAATAACAGAATAGAATGGGATAGTATAGGTGAGACTAGACTAGACTATACAGTAACATACTTTACAATCCTGTACTATACCACAAAATACTATACAATTTACCATGCAATACAATGACATGAACTATACAACAATAGACCAAAATTGGAAACAATATGTAACGAGATAGACTGTTGTATACTGTATTGAATTGTATTCTGCTATATTATACTATATAAGGCTTGTGTCATACTGCACTGTTTTATGCAAGTGAGTTTGCTCCTCCGGCAAGTGAAGGTGGGTAAACGAATTGGGGAATCATACCGCATGTTAATCAAATATCTAGAGGCGCACTGCCAGGCTGCAGTGCAGCCAGATGCCAGCCTCTGCGAGAGCTGAGTTAGGTCCGAAACGTCTTAGGGTTTTGGACTTAGCGCTTCTGATTTCGGGCTAAGGGTTTAAGGCTTAGGGCTCAGGGTTTAGGGGGTTTAGGGCATGGATGCCATGATGTTGTCGAAGCGGGCATAGCCACGACGAGAAGCTGCACCATTGAGCCCACAGCCCTGGTCCTGGGAAGCTAGCTGTAGTGGCTTTCACGCCGTTTCTCTGTCATCTTCATCAATTTCGGCGTTCTTCTCCAGAGTGTCGGGCTTCAGAAGTGCCTTTTCAGCTTTGCTTCTCAAGGCACAGCAACGGCTCAGGCACCTCATTCTCGGCTGCTCACTGGCTGCTGAGCGGTGTCGCAAACACTCAAGGGTGTATGGTGGATCCACCACTGCAGCCTAGCTGCCTCTTCGTGGTTTCTTGCCGGCGACACAGTAATCATCCCGACACCCCGCGAAACATTCCAGCAGCTAAGCAAAAGACGCAACCCTCAGCCGTTTTCGAACAAAAGGCATCCTGTCTGAAATAAGCCCTACCTGTAGCCGGAAAGACCTACCTTTTTCGGGTTCTTTATTATGGTTTCTATCTATAGTTCCTTAAAAAAGGTAGGTCTGCCCGGCTACAGGTACCCTACAGCCATGATCCAGGTGGATCTGCTGTCTTGGCATGGCCTATCTCCGCCTATGCATAGACCGCAGCCATCTGCTTCGAGAACCAGATATCGCGCAGGCTGTTACTGCCTCGACGGTTTGAACAAACTTCCACGTTCGCTTAAGCTGCTTAAGCCGTTTCTTCGTTGGGTTGTTCGTTTACCCACCTACGCGATTACTTACTTGTTTGCTTTGAAGCATAGTTGCTTCCGGCCCTCTTACAGACTGGCAGCTTACGCTCATCGGTCGCCCTGGCCACGGCATCAGTTCATGGTGCTGCATACGTGGCGATGCGCTTTGTGCGTAGGACCGAGGGCTTAGGGCTTAGGTCTCAGGGCATAGGGCCACTTTGGCTTTGGGGTTTAAGATTTTATGGGAGGGTATTAAGCGCTTTGGGATCCGTCTATCCGGTGATGCAGGGCTTTCGTGATCCCCACTCAACCCTACGCCCTCCTGAGCTCTAAACCGAAGATCCCTAAACCCTAACCCTAAACCCTAAACTCCAAATCCTAGGCCCTAAACCCTAAACAAACGTAAATGAGGCTTGACCCTCCAGCGACAATCCCAAGCCCTGCCATGCCAGACCCTCAGACAATGAACGTGAAGACCAAGCTGAACCCTGAACCCTGAAGCGTAACAACCCTAACAGAGTCAGGGCTCAGGGTTTAGGGTTCAGGGTTTAGGGTTTAAGGTTTCTAACAGACACCCCACCCCCAAGCACAAACGCCGGAGAATGACTTTCGACAGGAGTCCAGCTGGCAGGTCCAGGGACGTTCTTCTTCAGAATCACGATGCCCTTGCCTGCGAAGCGTGGGGCCCTCGCGCTCTTTGGGATTCGGGAGTTTAGGGTTGCAGGGGGAACCCTAAATCCTAAACCCCAAACCCTAAACCCTAAAGGTTCGGGACTTGAGTTCGTTGTATCGGGTATTCTAGGATCAGCCCGGCAGTCGTAAAGCACCTGAACTGCTAGCTTAAGTATTTCAGGTTTTGGGATTTCGGGCTTAGGCTTAGGGTTTCTTTTAAAAAAGTCGGCTCCAGTGTTTTTAGGGTTTGGGGTGCCATTTCGACGTAGGCCCTTCCTTTAGGGCCTGAGGTTTTGGGCCTTGCATCGCCCAGTTTCCCAGAAGCGTCTTAGGGTCTTGGTTTTTAGAAACCCTAAGCCATAAAAACCTTCGGTTTAGGGCTTGTTCCTGCGATGCCGGTCGGGTTCTCCGGCTTTGCCAGCCCTAAACCCGAGAACCTAAACCCCTAAACCCTCAGCCCCTAGATCCGAAACCCGAAACACTCGAAAACCCGAACCTCGATCCCCAAATTCCTTAAGGCTTTCAACCGACCACCCGGCAATACACAGGCCTCTGCAATCAGGCCACTGCTTTGCTGAGTTCCACGTGGCTACTAGCTTAGCGTAACCGCTAGAATGATTAACTTCGCAGGTGCCTAGAAAACTATACAATAAGCCCCTCTAAACCCTCCTCTAAGGGGGTCCAAAAGTGTTTGGAATACTGTACGTAGACCTTTAAAGTCTTCATGGTGTCCTAATTCTGGGCGTTGGCTTTGATACGTAGGTGCTTCAGAGTGGGTCTCATAAGGTTGTGATAGAGTCTGTAAACCCTAAACCCTAAACCCTAACTGTGAAGGCTTTTGTAGGGTGTCAGGGTCCCAAGGCAGACGCTCAAAGTCAAGAAGTCAAGCCCTCCCAACACCCTTGATGCAGGGACCAGGATGATTCGTCATGGTATTCCTTGTTTAATCACTACAGCAGTGATTAGTCATGGCATTCCGATTTTGAAAACTATAGCACGTACCCCAAAGCCCCACTGTAACTATTCAGACCCTTCACGTTCCGGGGCTCCCTCTCTCTGCGAGTCTGACGCCTCCGTTGCCACCTTTACCTCCGTGGTGGTGGTTCGTGGATCCACCTGGCTTAGGATGTAGGCCTGACCCTAGGGGCATCAAGCTCTAAACGGGTGCAAGGCTCACTTAACATGCGGAATTCATAGTATAACGGCATAAGCCCCTACCTCAAGGGTCACTTGGTCCTCAAGGTAGGCTCGGGTGCTAGGTCATACCTCTGCGTCGCGCAAACCGACAGCCAGAGCAAGAGGAAGCATGTGTTTGTAGCAAATGTAGCTAAAATGACTCTTGCTCGTATGATGACGATGCAGATGAAAATAAAGATGAGCAGGAACAGGAGCAGGGGAGGAGCAGGAGGAGCCTGATCACGATACTGCTCCTGATGTAATGAAAAAGCCACACCGTACCGCAAAGGGTGATGGTGACGATAGCAGCAAACATGACGATGAGCAGAATCATCTCCTTGATCATCGTCATCGCCATGACCAGCACCAACATCATCACCAAGGTCATCACCATCATCATCGCTATCATCGCTACCATGTTCATGACGGTCATCCACCACCACCACCACCACCAGCATGATCAGCGGCGTCATGGTGCACAGTGGCGGTTGTCGTTTGCTTCCAGCACCCACCCTTCCCGCCCTCAACCTATACTGAACTTACAGACCCTCAGCAAAAAACATAATTTTACCTATTTCTTAACGAGTATAGGAACCAGAAATTAAAACTAAATAACTCTGAGTCCCCCTGAGAGATCCTAAACTACAGCGCCGATGCCTCCGCCACCACCGCCCAGGCCGTTGCGGCCAGCCTTGCAGCTTCCAAGCGTCAGCGCTAGGCTGGGGGAGGAAGGATTTACGGTTTAGGGTTAGAGTCCAAAACCCAGGGCTCATAAAGGACTATTGGGAGTAATGAAGTTCATAAACCAGGATTCATAAAGGACTTTTGGGCGCAATAGAGTTCACAAACCAGGGTTCAGAAAGGACTTATAAGGAAAAAGACCCCAAAACAACAACCCGGAGGGGAGTTTGGGGCGACTTCCTTTCCTTTCTGGTAACGACTTTGCCCGAAGAGCCGGGTGGGATCCCTGGCGCTGCTCCACGGGCACCATCTAAGTCTTCTGTTCGGGTGTGGGGCTTCAGGAATCTCAGGTCGTAGAAATAGGTTCCGGGCTACTTGGGTTTCGGGTTTCGGGTTTGGGGTTTAGGGTTTAGGGTGAGGCAATCGCTGTACGATTTCGACCTTGAGGGTTCTTTGCTCACACGTGGGCGACCGTGAAACACAGATGCTCTCAGCATGCATCCTGCACAACCAACGCTCCCAGGATAGCGTAAGGGCCTTGACGATTAGAATGGGCTTTTTGAAAGAGCGGCTATAATCAGGAACCCTACCAACAATGTTGGTAATTATTCAGGCTTCCATATTTGTGTTGTGCTATCTATCATTTCGACTGGCCTCAGGAACACTTGGATTAAGGATTCACTCAATACAGTAACATCACGACAGCATGACATGGTCTCTGCCTGACCAGGGTTCTTGCCCCCGGGTGTTCCGCAACCGCCGCCGCCACCGTCACCACCCTGGAACAAGAGGCTGAAACTATTGTAGGGGCTATCAGAATATGAATACTAGTAGTATTACTAATACTAATACTATTAATACTAATACTATTAATACTAATACTATTAATACTAATACTAATAATTGGGATCTTGACGCGCGGGGTAGTAGAACTGCAACACTTTCAGGCTTCTACTTTCCCCCCAACCCTACACCCGAAGCGCTAAAACACACACACACACACACACACACACACTGCAGCTTGAACTTATCTTTCGCAGAGAACTGCAGTCGGGAGCTGTTATCATTGAAGACCTTTTCACAAATTCAAGGAAGTGCAAGATGGGTCCTCCAGAAACAGAGCTAAACGAGGGCCACACATGTGGAAGTTTCCGAAAATTCGGGGTACCTGCTGTTGGGGTCATTATAGTAAGGATCCCACTATTTAGGGTACTATATTAGGGTCCCCTGTTTTCGCAAACTCCCATATGAAGCGGGTTCAGGGGCCAAGAATTGGGGGTTCAGGGTTTCGGGGTTCAGGGTTTGGCGTGTCTCAATTGAAGATGCATGAACTTCGTGTGTCCACCCGTTGCTCGCGCTCCACCCTGATCTCCACCTTGGAGTTCCTAAACCCTGAGCCCTTTCAGAATAGGGGTTAATATTGGGGCCTTAATAAATAAAATAATTAGGGTTTTGGGGCCCTCTATACTCCAATTATAAAAGGCAACCCCAAAATAGCATTGATAATTATTGAAGCCCCTGTAGTACCGCCCTTCGATACTGTAGGGTCACTTTGGTTTCCTGTGTTTCGGGACGCAGGGTGCCTGTCGCACAAGGAGCCGTTTTGGTATGCGCGCCATGGGAGGCTTTAGAAAGCTGTCAAACAGGCTGAAAACCCGACCCTGCTCTAGAGCTTAGAGTTTAAGGTCTACTACAGGGGCCTAAATAATGACCAATACTATTTTGGGGTTCCTTATTATCATTGCAGTACAATGGGCCCGGAAACCCTATTCTAATTATGAAGGCCCCTAAAGCAGGCTCTATGCACCCTGCTGGCTCCAGGCCGACAAGAGAAGCGGACATATCGAAGAGACAACTCCGAAAACACTCCCAAAAGTCCAGGTCTAGCACCCAGTCATTGAATACCGCCACGGGTTTAGGGTTAGCGGTTTAGGGTTTAGGGTTGGTAAAGCACAACCACGGAAGCCTTACCGCCGGAGCTGCACGCCGGATCGTGGGAACCACCGCCGCCACCGCCTGCATACATCACGCAGGTGCCGGTGATGCAGATCTCCTGGCTCGGAAGAGGGTTCAGTCAGATCGTTGGCTCGGAGGGTGCAGGGTTTCAGGACACCCAAACCTCAACCGGACCTCGTTAGCATCGAAATCTTGACTACTCTGACAAATTTTCTGAACCCCAAGCCCAAAACTCCAAAACATGAACTCCTTCAAATCCTTTCAGAACCCAAAAGCCTGAACCCTCGCTCGTCCTTGCCGGCACCACCATTGCCGCAGACAGAGTTCGTGCCCTTGGTTCCCTTACTTCCGGCACCTCCTCCACCTCCAGCATTCCTGGACTTCTTAGGTCGGATTCCGGGCTAGGTTCAAGGCTTAGGGTTCAAGCTTTAGGGTTCAAGCTTTGGGGTTTAAGGTCTATGATTTGGGGTTTCGGTTTAGGGCTTCGGATTTACGGAGGGTTTAGGATAGTTAGTTCTATTAAGTTCACCGGCAGGAGAATCAGATTTTGGGCCCTTGCTATCTGCAGGGCCTTGCGGATGTGGATCGGACTCCGTTGAGCTCTTCAACGCCAGGGCTTTTGCAGGGCTTTTATGGATTTGAGGGTTTAGGGCTTCTTGGGCTTGGGGTTTAGGGTCGAGGGTTTAAGGCTTCTTGGGTTTGGGGTTTGAGTTTAGGGTTTAAGGCTTAGGGCTTCTTGGGTTTGGGGTTTGGGATGCTGCGACACCAGGTCTATCGCGTTAGTGGACGGCTCAAGGCTGGAAATGCAGACACGAGATAGGTAGTTGTCACAAATTGTGGTCCGTTTTGGGGTCCCTAATATAGCACGGGACCTAATATTCAGAGCACACAAAAAGGCACCATAATCTTGACAACCACCTAGATATTTGAGGCTTCGGGTGGAAGACCCGCCGCCTGCTAAGCTAAAGAGAACAGAAACACACTACGACCTTGGGGTTCCTCAGAAACACTCTATGACCTTGGGGTTCCTCATTATGAATATATATATATATATATAGCAAGATTTAAAATCAAGATACCCCCAGAACCCTATTCTAATTCTTAGGGCCCCTACGTTACAGCCTTATCTCCTGACCGAAACCTCGTGATTGCCTGACTTATGAGCCCCTAGCAAGGCCTCCTAGAACGAATAGCAACAGTTTGGGAGCCCTGCAAAGCCGTCATAGCACCCTTTGTCGAAGCCTTGCAGAACCTGTAGGATAAGGCCCCGATGTAAACTTAGCACCTACCGTCGACGCACCGAAACCCTCGCCCTGAAGACTAAACCCTAAAAAACCCTGAACCCTAATACTCTGCAGCCAAGGTTCCAGGTGTCTTTGGTACCGAAACCGCCAGCGTGGCCACTGCCGTAGGCGCCGGAGTCCTTGGAAGTTTCGCTGGGTCTTCGATTCTATCAAAGGGGAAAAGGAGGGACCCTTAAAGGGGACCCTTAGCCTATAATGGGCGATATAATGGGTATATAATAGCTATATGCTATATTAAGGGTATATTACCTAGGGGTCCTTATTAAGGGTCCCTCCTTTTCCCGTTTGATTCTAGAGAGTTTGAGCCATCGGCCTTCAGGCTCGTAGGGTCTAGGGTGTGGGCCTAAAGTTCAGGCTGTTCGGGGATCAGGCTAAAGAGTGCCTGCCAGATGCATTTTCAGAAAAGCTTCCTGTTCCCTGCAAACAAAGAACGGAAGGCTCTGAGCCCAGCGATCGAATCTACACTTCAAACCGCCCAGCCTCTTCAGTGGGGTTTGTAGCTGGGGCGAGGGGGCTTGAAGTTTTACGGGTTTAGAGTCAGAGGTGAAGTTTTTGGGGTAAAACCCCGGGGGCTTAGGAGAACAGCTGACTGTCCTGGAGGCCCATGTAAGCCACCATGTACAAACACCTTGAAGCCTTGAAGTCCGCACCAACGCAAACCCCGCCCAAACACTCAACTTTAGAGTTTAGGGTTTAGGGTTTAGGGTTTAGGGTTTAGGGTTTAGGGGACATCCCTTTGCCGAATAGAATGTAACCCCACAGCTCCAACATTTCTCTAAACCTTACAACAAGAACTAATAAAGCCTGTGAGGCCCGAAAACTCCAGGACCCTGAGTCGCAAAGGCTTGGTAGAAGCCACAAAGGATTCACGACCTAAGGGTTTAGGGTTTAAGGTGTAGGGCTTCAATTTCACGATTCCAGGGGACGCCACTCTGCGTGGGCTGCGTGGCCGTGCCTCCGTCCTCTAGGGCTTTCGGGTTGACCCAGAGACTCCAAAGTCCCTTGATTTAGGAATATTCCTTAAATTATAGTAGGATCCCGAATATGATTTAAGGCATATTCCCTAATTAAGGAATATTCCTTAAATTATAGTAGGATCCCGAATATTATTTCAGGTATATTCCCTAATTAAGGAATATTCCTTAAATTATAGTAGGATCCCGAATATGATTTAAGGTATATTCCCTAATTAAGGAATATTCCTTAAATTATAGTAGGATCCCGAATATGATTTAAGGTATATTCCCTAATTAAGGGATATTCCTAAAATTATAGTAGGATCCCGAATATGATTTAAGGTATATTCCCTAATTAAGGGATATTCCTAAAATTATAGTAGGATCCCGAATATGATTTAAGGTATATTCCCTAATTAAGGGATATTCCTAAAATTATAGTAGGATCCCGAATATGATTTAAGGTATATTCCCTAATTAAGGGATATTCCTAAAATTATAGTAGGATCCCGAATATGATTTAAGGTATATTCCCTAATTAAGGGATATTCCTAAAATTATAGTAGGATCCCGAATATGATTTAAGGTATATTCCCTAATTAAGGGATATTCCTAAAATTATAGTAGGATCCCGAATATGATTTAAGGTATATTCCCTAATTAAGGGATATTCCCAAAATTATAGTAGGATCCCGAATATGATTTAAGGTATATTCCCTAATTAAGGAATATTCCTTAAATAATAATAGGGTCCCTAATATGATTTAAGGTATATTCCCTAATTAATGGATACTGGAGTCTCCGGGTTCAGGGTGACAGGCTGGGGGCCGAAACGGTTTGAACACTGGAGTCTTAGGAGGGCCTCAGGGGTTCAGACTTTAGGGCCTCCTTGGAATAGGGTTCCTTAATGAGTTCCTTAAAGGGTTTAGGGTTCGGAGTTTAAGGCCTACTTGGAGGTTCATGGGTCGTTATATGTAGGGTTATACGTAGGGTAACTATACTGAGACCCCATATTAGGGATTTATAACCCCATCTCTAACTACAATAACCTTCAACTAGGGTCTTCTTGGGGCTGAGAATGAAAAGGTTCCTCAACATGACCTCTTCCGGCAAGGATAGCTAGATGTAGCTGCAGTAAACCTTAAAACCACATTCCCCAAACCCTCAACCCCTAAACCCTAAACCCCTAAACCCTAAACCCCTAAACCCTAAACCCCTAAACCCTAAACCCCTAAACCCTAAACCCCACACCAGGGATCATGTCGAAACCTTCTAGCCTTGGATGCCCGGAGCCTTTCTGTGCACAGTGGCAAAACACGGCAGAGTGTCCGAAAATCGCAAAACCTACTGTAAACCCTAAGCCTTAAACCCTACACCCTAAGCCGGCTCCGGGATTGGCGCAGTAAACCTGAACCCGAAAACCCCGTAGCCCCCTGCTCTAACTAACCTAAACCCTATTTCCGCACAGCCCGAGACCCTAGGACTGCAGCTCTGACTTTTCCTGGGCCTTGCGGCCTTCGGAGTTGGTTTTCGGGGGCTTACAGTTTCTGGGCTTACGCTTCAAGGGGTTTAGCATTTCTAGCACCATGTACGATAGAAAGCTTGATAGATAGACAGATAGCAGATAGCAGCAAACATATAGATATATATATATATACTGTTTGTTTATTTAAATACATGTGTATGTGTGCATATATATATATATATATACACACACATACATGCATATAGGTAGGTCTATGTGAGGAAGAAAGAGTGATGGACAAATTATGTACAACATATGCAAACCGGCTGGAACCTGTTCCATCTGCATCAAAAAAAGAGACAGTCCTTGCCGTATTTGCCACCGCCACCGCTGCCGCCATTTTTTCCCTTCTTGGTTCCGTCGCTTCCGCCACCGCCGCCGCCTCAGGCGTGTCGACACGGTTTGGGGTTCAGAGTTTGGGGTTTTAGGCTTCAGAGCTTTGGGTTTTGGGGCCTGGGAGTGAGGCTTAGGCTTAAGGGCTTGAGCTTGTTGATGCGTGTTTTGACTTTGGATGTTGAATGCTCGGAAGGGGACACCGAAATTGCCAGGGAGAGAGTCCATCAGCGAGAATGGTGCTTGGGGCCTTCTGGTCAGCTCCGGTATACAACAAGGGCTTAAAGCCCTACTTGCCAAGCCCTCACCCCTGAACACTGAAGAAAGTATGAAGAAACCAGATACCAAAATTGCTACAACCTGAACTGATTGAAGAACAAGCCGCCTTTGGCGACGAGGTCCGCGAACTTCGAGTCTTGACCTCCAGAGCTTTCTGACATCCCGGGTAGCGAAGACTTTTTCGTTGGGTTCAAACTTATCGGCTGTTTGTTAGACTCAGCTTGAAGGTTGTTCGCCTTTGGGTTAGCTTCAGGGTTCATTGGGTTAAGGGCTCGAGAAATGAGTTTGGGTACATGCGCAACTTCGGGGCCCGGTACTCTCTAAATCCTACAGAAAAAACGTTGAAAACCAACCCCTGAATCACTGAACCCGAAGCCCTACTAGCCCGCGAAGCTTCAAATCCTAAAGCCTGTTTGTTGACCTTCTTAGTGTTGTAGATGGCTTTGGGTCAAGCCGCCAGAGACGATGAAACTAAATCATAACTCACGGTCAAAGCAGCGCTCTCTGCAGATGCTGCTTTAGGCTTGGCGTGTGTGATTCTGGAGGTGTTGAGCCTTAAGCTGGGAGGCTATGGGTTCAGAGTAGAAGACCAACAAGTCGGAGAGCTCGCAACAGCCATACACAAATCTGTGGAGCCGAAACCCCTCCATGACAGTGCATCAGGAGTGTGTTAGCCTTACAGTCTACAAGACAACTAAACCCTCGACCTTCTGTAGTTAAAACCCCGACGAACCGAGTGATCTACTTCAAGGCCTGATTTTCCGTCGCTTTTTGCTCCGAGTCCGGCGTTTCCTTTACCGCCGTCGCCACCCGCACCAACCACGACGTTGTACTTCGTGCCCTTGGCCACCTGACTTCGTGAGAAGGTTTCAGAGGCCACGGCTTTGGATTCGGAGGCGGAGGCAAGGAAATCAACACACACACACACACACACACTCTTTCTGTTTCTCTCTCTCACTCTCATTCTCACTCTCACTCTCACTCTGAATCACTCGCTCTCTCCCTCCCCCCCCCCCCTCCCTCCTCCCTCCCTCCCTCCTCTCTCTCTCATCTATCTCGCTCTCTCTCTGTCTCTCCTTCTCTCTCTCGCTCTCTCTCTCGATCTCTCTATCTCTCTCTCTTTCACTATCTCTCTCTCTCCCTAGCTCTCTATAGTTAATTAATACAGGCACATGTAGATCTATATATATATATATATATATATATATATATATTTTCATATTTATTTAAATATATACAAGCATACATACCTTCATCCATGCATGCATACATACATAGATGCATGCATGCTCATATGTATGCAGATATGTTGCGTACATGTATGACATATATATATATATATATATGAGAGAGAGAGAGAGGCGCCTCTAGGGTCTATTTTACGCTCTATTCTTTTCCTTATAACTACTACTATTATAAATAATTGAAATAATTGAAATACTCTAAATCAGCAGAATTGATTTCAATTATTTCAATTATTTAAATCCGCCAGAGGGCCCAAATAATTGAAATAATTGAAATCGATGGTTGCTATGGGCCAAGCCACGAATCCCACCGAATTGAATTATTGAAATAATTGAAATAATTGAAATAATTGAAATCCGACCTGTTTCAAATTATTTCAATTATTTAAACCCGCCAAAGGGCCCAAATAATTGAAATAATTGAAATCAGCCCCATTTCAATTATTTC